CCCCAAAACCCCAAAACCCCAAAACCCCAAAACCCCTTTATAGGAATTTACAGTTGAAGAGAGATTACTTTTTATCAACAAATTCTGAAAGGAATTTCTTCTCATTCTTCTTCAGATTAGATAATGAGTAGTTCAACTTGTAGATTTTGGTCATCCCATCCATGTAGCCGACCGCTAAGAAATCCCTCTGCTTTGGATTAAAGCTGATTTTAACCCCTCCTGAGTTGACAACTTTCTCCTCTTCCTCGTTTTCCAGAATATAAGCAGGAGATTTCTTTGAAATGGTCAAGTCATAAATATAAGGCTTCCCTTTGGTCCCAATAACTGCAAAGACTGCTGGTCTGAAGGGAGAGAAGCACGCATCCATGAGGTATTCATTTGAAGAGGGCTCGAAACTAGCTATACTCCGATTGTTGTTTATATCATACATCTTAACACTTCCGTCAATAGAGCAACTTAGGAACAACTTTCTAATAAATGGCGAACAAGATACAGCCTGATTCGGTCCATACTGCTTTTCATAGTTGAAATTAAATGGGACTGTATACAGCAGTTTCATCTCAGGCTTAGCGTTAAAGATATGAATAGGATTGACCTCTTTATATCCTCTATCCATTCAGTACCTCTCAACCTCCTGTTTGATCTGCTCCTGATTGACCGGGTTAGTGATTGTGTCCATGAACCTCTCACTTTCCTTCCTCCATCTCAGCCGTTTAGAGAGCCCCTCAAAGGTACTTCCTGAGATTTGGTCTGAAAAAGAGGTTGTCTCAATATTACACTTAAAAATAGTTCCGCCTTCTGTTCCAAGCAAGAACATATTATTGTCAAAAGGATTGACATCCAAGGAGGTGCCTCCAATCATGACCATCTGTCCCTTCTTCTTCCTTGCGATAATGTACCCTTTCTTCGGATGGTCAAGCTTGTTGTCAGGATCCCAGATTAAGATCTTGCCGTCTGTAGAGGTACTAATCAATGAATGTACGAATCTGAGGCTTCCAATCTGTTGCTGAGAAATCCATACCAACTTGGTGATGGACTCTCTGTGGAAGTATTCGTCAGCTCTCGAATTTCATAATTCAGGTTCTTCATTGTAAACATTCCAGAGATAAATCTCTCCAATGAAAGTGCCCCCAGCCAAGAGATTAGGATCCGAAGGGTGGAACCTGAGTGTAGTCACTCAATTACTAACCTCAATATTCTTACTGGGCTTAGCTGGATCTAGGTCTCTTCGGAAGATTCCCCAGATACTAACACAGCCTTGGAATGACATTGAAGGATGATTTTGCTTGCCATAGGCAACTGCAATGGTGCTGCCATTGCAGCTCCAGTCTACACTAGTGACATCAAATGAAAGGACCTTCGACTCCTCTCCCGCTACTGCATTGGTAGTCTGTGATTGCACAGTAGAGGTATTTTGAACCGAAGCTTTCGTCTTTCTCCCGATCGACTGCATATCACCCCATTCATCAATATCATCTTGGTATTCTTGGAAACTGCCAGTTTCTCCTCCAGCATCTGCGCCATCTTCGTCAACTCCAGGGTCTGTAAACTCAAAAGTTGTGGTTAAAGTATGCTGTAAACTATTCGCTTCTAGTCCATCGTCATTTTTAACCTCGTAATGTTCAAAAGTTCGTGAGGATGCATTCATCTCGAGAATGTTAGCAAGCCTAGGGTAAATTGCTTCGAGCCAATCTCCTAAATAGTCCAAGTTAACTTCGGCCTGTGCGTTGCCGTCATCTCCGATCATAGCATCAACCTGTGTCTCCACTGCATAGGCTTCATAATCAGTATTGGTCTCTACATTACACTCATAGATCTCTTCTGTGTTACTATAAAAATCTTGTGTCTTGACAACTCTGTCAGCTCCAGATGTTGAGGGGACGATGCTGATACCACCAAAATCATCGTCTACAAGGGCTTCATCTTTCAAGTCTGAATTCATGTTTAAATTATTCAATTTATATAACTGAGAGGGGTTTTGGGGTTTTGGGGTTTTGGGGTTTTGGGGTTTTGGGGTTTTGGGG